TAATTCGAAATGTTAAAATCGATTTTGGCGCTACTCCGCTCGCCGGGGTGGAGTACAGAAATCGATTTAAAGGGCCCTTTACATCGAAATAAATAGCGTCGTTGTGTGGACGGTTGCAGGATAAATTCGAATTAAAGCTGATAAATCCGAATTAAAGTCGTAGTGTAGACCAGGCCTTACAGAAGTATTGGGAGCATAAGCTTTCATGGGTAACAACGTCACTTCTTCAGATGCAAGTAATGGAAATGTCCAGAGGCAGGAATAAATCAGTATGGAGATAACGAGGTTATTGTCACTGAAATAACTCAATGGGGTTTAGCTCCCACCTAGTTTTGTTTCAATGCAAGTCTGTGTGTGGCTGTGGACACCTTACTGTGAATTAAGCATGTCCTTGTTTGATTGAAGGTACTTCTCCACAGTACCTGGGAGGTGTGATTCCCAGCCCGGGTAGATGTACATGTGCTGACTCTGCGGGAGCTAGCACACTGCCAATAGCAGTGCAGCCACGACAGCAAGGGGGAGGCTTGGGCTAGCCACTGGAGTACAATCCAGCCCGACCCCCGCCTGGACACCTATTGTGTAGCCAGACCCTGAATTTAAGTTTTTGTGTTCTTGTTTGTTTGTTTCCTTGCCCCCCTTTTCCTTTTATTCCCTTTCTGCATTTTTAAACCTCGCCGCTCCTGTTCCTTGCCTATGTAGTTCCTGCTTCCTTCTTTTCTTATCTTTCTCCTGCTCCTCCTCCAGGCCTCTCCTTTTTCTTTACTTCATTCTGCACCTGTGCAGCTGATATGAGGTGGGACAGGCACCTCCCATTGTCAGCAAAACCATTTCTGATGCAGAGAGAACAGAAGCCAAGAGATCCCAGCAGCCATGGAAATCCAAGAGGAAACCAAATGTCCCATCTGTCTGCAATATCTGACAGACCCAGTGACCATAGACTGTGGGCACAACTTCTGCCGAGTCTGCATCACTCAGCACTGTGAGACCTGGACAGAGGGGGACCATGACCCTTTGTGCTGCCCCAGTTGTAAAGCCATAATACGAAACAGGACTCTCCAGAATAACTATCAGCTAGCAAATATAGTGAAAACAATTAAAAAGCTGGATTTAAAACCAGGAAAAGAGAATCTGTGTGAGAGACACAGCAAAGCCCTGGATCTGTTCTGTGACAAGGACGGAGAAGCCGTGTGTGTGGTTTGTTGGCGATCCCCCGAGCACAGATCTCACCCGGTGCTTCTCATGGAGGAGGCTGCCCAGAAATACAAGGTAGGACACACTGTGGATCCAGGTTCATTCAATCCTTTCCTTTTCAGACTAAATCTCTCAGAGCCCTGGAATCTCCCAGTTTCCCAGACTTTCTACCTTGATCTCTGGCTCCACCTAAATCTCTCCCCTGCAGGCTCCTTCCTCTGGGCAGGTGCAGGGAGCCCTGGCCACTGATTCTGCCCTAACCTGTCAACCCCACACTGTTCATTAGGGAGTTGTGGGCACTAAAGCTCCGTGGAGGCACTTTCCTCACACACAGGATTGAATCAAAATGTGTCTGAGCTGCTGCTAAACCAGGAATGGAGGGAATGAGCTGTTCCCAACACACCCCTGACAGCCCAGGCACTGCTAGCAGGACATTCACATTAATCATGAACACAGCAGCCCTCGCTCTGCTGCATACAACATACATACAGGAGTGGGTTTAAGTACAGGTACTATGGACACTTCCCTAGCGACCAATCTCTGGAGTTGCCTGATTAGAACAGGCCCTCAGGTTTCATCATAACATATCAACAACCAAATAGTAACTTTCTAGCCCATATGACTGAAAAGTATGAAAGTGTGACCTAAACGTAACTGATACAGTGACGTGTGCCTGACTCTGCAGAGAGCCTGAGCCAATAGCTCTGAGAGGAGGGAACTACCCCATGCATGTCAATGGGGTGTTCGCTCCAAGAACTACTGCTCTAGGGTCCTCATCCACCTCTCCCAAGTTGGGGGCTCTGTGTGTGTGGCAGGCCAGGAAGAAGGCAGTGGGCCCAACTCACCATCCCAAGAAAATACACGATACACAAATCTGTGCTGGCAGCTTACATGTACTGAGGTCCCTGCCCCAAAGAGCTTGCAGTCTATAAAGATGAGTAAAGATAAATTTCTCCTCCCCTCTGAACAAGCCTTTGTATGTGTACTTTATTTTCTTTTCAAACATAGTTTGAGCATCTGCTGAATTTTCTGCTGTACTCAGATTGCATTTATCCAAAATAAAAAAATAGCCCTTTGATAGAGGCAGATTGTATCACTATGACCCTTTAAAAGAATCTGATTTCTACCCAGGGCTGTGTTTGACTCAGTGTTTGTGTATTACTCAGGTTCAATGGCTGCACAATTGTCCCTTGAACCTCTGAAATCTGTGAGTCATTGTTAGCTAGCTTTCAACCCCCTAAACTTCTCTCTCTCCATGTATATGCTCAGTGTCATTCTTTGGTGCTTGACCCTGAGTGAACAGCAGAGTCAGTTCCAGAAAGGGAATTGCACAGTTGTGTTTCAGGCTGGGCATAATTCTGGGCTCTGGAAAGTGAAACTAACCCTGTTACACTGTCCAAAGGGAGCCAGGCTTCAGAGAACCCTGTGAAAAGTCTCCAGGATGAAGCTACTTGTCCAATCTGTGTGGAGTATTTCAGAGAATCTGTCACTCTGGATTGTGGGCACAATTTCATCCAAGCCTGCATCATCCAGTACTGGGAGGGATCGGATACAGACATCTTATGCCCCAAGTAGGGAGAGACTGTGCAACAGAGAAACATCAGACCAAATAGGCAGCTGGCGATAGAAGTAGAAACAGCCAAACAGCTGAGTTTAGAGGCACTGGATGAAGCAGGAGGTGAGAGGGTGTGTGGGGAATACCGGAAGCCTCTGAAACAGTTCTGTGAAGAGGATCAAACTTCGATTTGTTTAGTTTGCCATCTGTTGTGGACTCAAAGGGCTCACACAGTGGTTCCCATAGCAGAGGCTGTTTGGAGTACAAGGTAGGGAATTGCTGTAAAGTTGAATAACTTTAGATTTTGGATGACTTAATAAAGTATTAATAAGAGTAATAACTTTGGATTTTAATTACCGGTTAATTTCATAGCAAGTTGCCTATTATCGCTATCTGTGTAACTGCATCACTGAGCTCTGTAAAGCCTACATTGTATGAAACATTCTATAAAAAGTAAATTATGCAGTATAAAGACTTTAAAGATGTGCAGTGAAAGAAACATTTTTCTGAGAAGCTAAATTCTTTTCCAAGCCATTTCCCACTTAGGGTCGTTTGAGCAAGAGAGTCCTATGGCCACAAAGAACCCAGAATAACTGCATCATTCAGTTCTGTAACGCCTTCATGGTATGACAGATGCTATAACAAGTTAATGATACTGCAGTGTGGCAAGAAAGGCAAAAAACCCAAAGAATTTAAAGATGTCTGATGTGAGAAAATTTTTGTCTGAGAAACTGACTCCTCTTCAAACCCAACTCCCACTGGTGACATAAGGGAATTTTCTATAGACCAGAAGTTGTTAAATGACCAGTGAGCTTTAAATGACATGAGTTGCAGGCCAGTCTATGTGAAAGTGCTGCCTTCAACGTGGAGAATAGGAAGTTACAAGCTGTTGTTGTTACTGATTTGTAACACGGTTTTTATTAGTAGCATTTTCATCTCAGTAGCCCCAACAGACCCCAAATGAGATCTGATTGTGATTGTGCAGGACCCTGCACAAAACACAGTGAGGGACAATCCCTGCCCTGTTACAGTGTAATTAGACAAGACAGATGAAGGGTGGGAGGGGAAACAAGGCACAGACTTGCCTATGGTCACTCAGCAGGTCAGTGGCAAAGATGGGAATAACACCCAGGTCTCCCAAGACCCAGTTCAGTGCCCTAACCAGTAGGCCATGCTACTACCCTAGCAGCAGCACTGATCAGTGATGAAGTGTGGCCATTAGAAGGGAAAGATGCCTTGATAAAGGCCCCATGCCCAGCAGGGTGATGAGGTGTCTCACTGGGATTCTGAACTCCCGTGTTGTTCCATGACTGGTTAAACTCAGATGCTGGCCTGCACTAGAGGAGGTCACTGTGTGGATTCAACCTTTATTGCCCCTGCACCCAATAACAAAGAGATTTGTGATCCAACATCAACCAAAAGTGATCATTTGGGCAAAGCAGATCCATCATGCTGAGCACCTAGGCAGGGTAGATGTATCCATGCAAACAAGGTTGGCTTCTGAAGTTCTCTTCCCCAGCTCATCACTAGATGTCAGGGAGAGCTCATGTGGACCTTGCTTACATGTACATGGGCAAGGACCACCTGAAGTGTTTCCACTAGTCCGATCATGCAGCCTTTTCAAAACTCTCAGAATCCACTGTTTCTAGGCTCTTTAGTAGGAGGATACCTACCCAGAAGGCATTTCTGTTCAGGACAGCACTATGGCAAACCACAACTGTTCTTACAAGTCAGCCTGTCTAATGGGATTTGCCCTAATGCTCAGACCAGTCTGTCCAACCAGTGCAATCCTCAGGGCTTCAGAGCTGAAATTCAACTGGGAGTTGGGCTCCTTGGATAATCCCAGCTCATATATGGAGCCCTGGTGATTTCTGGGATTTGTATCACTTTGTTAATTTAATCATCTCAAAAGTAAATTTATTGATTCACCACCATGTAACTCCAGTTTCTTGTTATGTGATGTACTACTAAGTAATTAATAAATATCTATCAAGCTTGGATAATTGAGGTTTCTCTCTAATTACTAAAAAAACTGAACCTGAATCGGTAACAAATCTGCATGTGACACACTCCCAGGCCTTGACTACACTTGCAGATGTACAGCACTGTGAGTTAAACCTGACTTCGTGCAGCTGAGTAGGGAAAGCGCTGCAGTCTGTCCACACTGACAGGTGCCCAGCGCACTGTCGTGGCCACATTTGCAGCAATTGCAGCGCTATTGGGAGCGGTGCATTATGGGCAGCTATCCCACAGAGCACCTTTTCCCATTCTGGCGCCGTGGATTGTGGGAAGGGGGCGTGGGTGCGGGGGATTCTGGGTCCCGTCCCAATGCCCCATGATGCATTGCTTTGCATCCCAGAAATCCCTTTGTTTCCGTCCACCTTTGGCGCCATCTTTCAACGGTTTCTGTGCAGCGCGATCTGTCTGCAGGAAATGGAGTCCGAACTGCTGAGGCGTATGCTGACGAGTCTCGCCAGCACGTCCCATTTGGCTGTCGAACTATTCCTTAAGATCCAAAGTGACAGTGAGAGTGAGGGTGAGGAGTCCGACAATGCTATCGAGCCGTGTAACAGTGCGCCACGAAATTGCTTGTGGCATTCATGGACATGCTCAGCACCGTGGAACTCCGCTTTTGGGCTCGGGAAACAAGCACCGAGTGGTGGGATCACATCGTCCTGGAAGTCTGGGATGACGAGCAGTGGCTGCAGAACTTTCGGATGAGAAAAGCCACTTTCATGGGACTGTGTGAGGAGCTTGCCCCCACCCTGCGGCGCAAGGACACAAGATTGAGAGCTGCCCTGCCAGTGGAGAAGCGGGTGGCTATTGCAATCTGGAAGCTGGCAACTCCAGACAGCTACCGGTAGGTCGCAAACCAGTTTGGAGTGGAATCGTGTTGATGCAAGTTTGCAAGGCCATTAATCGCATCCTACTCAGAAGAACCGTGACTCTGGGTAACATGCAGGAAATAGTGGATGGCTTTGCACAAATGGGATTCCCTAACTGTGGAGGGGCGATAGATGGGACACACATTCCTATTCTGGCACCAACCCACCTAGGATCCGAGTACGTTAATCGGAAGGGGTATTTCTCTATGGTTTTCCAGGCGCTTGTGGATCACCATGGGCGTTTCATTGACATTAACACAGGCTGGCCCGGAAAGGTGCATGACGCATGCATCTTTCGGAACACTTGGCTGTTCAGGAAGATGCAGGCTGGGACTTTTTTCCCAGAGTGGAAGATCACGGTAGGGGAAGTTGAAATGCCCATTGTGATCCTTGGAGATCCTGCTTACCCGTTAATGCCATGGCTCATGAAAGCCTACACAGGGAGCCTTGACAGCAGCAAGGAACGGTTCAACTACAGGCTGAGCCGGTGCCGAATGACTGTGGAGTGTGCCTTTGGCCGTTTAAAGGCCCACTGGCGATCTCTGTATGGGAAGCTGGACTTGGCCGAAAACAGCATCCCCGCGGTTATATCCGCATGCTGTGCCCTCCATAATATTTGTGAAGGGAAGGGTGAAAGTTCACTCAGGCATGTACCTCTGAGGTTCAACACCTGGAGGCTGAATTTGCACAGCCAGAGAGCAGGGCTATTACAGGGGCCCAGTGCGGGGCTGCAAGGATTAGGGATGCCTTGAGGGAGCAATTTGAGGCTGAAAACCAGCAGTGATATCTGGTGCCCTGCATGGGAGTGAAGTGCAGTAGTTCCAATCTTTAGGAATCAGTGTTTGCTAAGCAGACAAGCAGACTTGCAGTGCCTGTTTATTTCCTGGGCTAAGGAGTCTTTTACTTTATGCAATAATAAAGAATGTTTTCAAAGCCAAAAAATCCATTTATTGAAAAGAAAAAAACATTATTTATTGAAAAGAAACAAGGGGGTGGAGTGGGGAACAGTACAATCACAGATTCGTGTATGTCCTGTCTGGTGTGCTGTGCAGTGAGTGCTGCACTTCATGACAGCTATACTGCATGGTGATGGGGGTTGAGTGAAGATGGTAAAGGTCGTGGTTTTCAGGGCAGGGTGGTGAAGATACTGGTGTTGGAGGCAGCGGGTGGCATGAAGAACATGGAAGTTGGGGAAAGTGGGTTGGGGGTGACAGTGGGGCACAACGGAAGGGCATTCGGGGTGGTGGTGTTTGCGTTTGCAGTACTGCTCCTCTTTCTGCATGGCTACCAGCTCCTGGGTAGCGTCTGCTTGGCGCTCCAGGATGCTTATGAGCCTATCCGTGCTTTACTGCTGGTGCGCGGTGCTTTGCTGCCGATGCGCTGCATTTTCCTGGCGGATCCTCCTGCTTTCTCTCTCCCTCCAGTTCTGTGCTTTCTCATTCTCTTTAGTGGATTGCTGCATCACTTCTTGCAGCATGTCTTTTTTGCTTTTTTGTGGTCTCTTCCTGAGTCTTTGCAGTCTCTGAGCAGGCGATAAGAGGGACAGCTGAGGTCTCAAGGTTGATGCAGCTGTATAGGCAAAATGCAACATTTAACAGAGGCAGCATTGTTTATACCAGACAAAGTAATGATTCCCCCCGCACTTAAGGAGTAGAAAACACACAGGGTCTACACAATAGCATAATTTCCCCATCCGAAACAGAGCACACATATCCCACGGGAGCCTCAAAATGGTGAGTAAGGGGGACTGATGGTTTCAGGGCTGCACTGTCCTCTGGGTTTCTGTGCCTTGGGGAGAGCCAACAGCTTCAGGGGGCACCTACACTGAACACTGTCCCAACATTTTCCACAGGAGTTCGTCCTGGACGATATCTCACTGCTGAGGGTGACCTGGGAAGCAAGGGAGGGTCTTCTACTGCAATGTGGCTTCCGCCCTGGCCCATATGCAGCTTGCCTGTGTGCAGCAATGGTCCCCCCACCACTCGCAGCACAGTGGCGTGGACACGTTAGCCTGGCTGGGACAAGGGCCATGGTGGTTGTCCCAATAAACCTGCGCAAGCGCATTGCACACGTTCTGCATGAGACATTCGAGGAGATTACCGAGGCTGATTACCGCAATGTGAAAACCACATCAATGCACTATTCCGCATCTAGGCATGCATGCCTAACCCTCCTCTCCCAGCGAGCCTGCACCGAAAAAATTCCTTCCCGAAACCCCCCTCCCCCGCATACCGGGAACCTGCTCTTTTGTTTGTCCTCCACCAATTACCGGCCGCTGCGACTGGCTACCTTCCTCCTGGCTTGAGAAGAGCTCCTGGCTGCATGGCTTCAGGGATTCCGGGGTGTCTCCATCCGGCCCACCACCATCACTCCCGTTTTCCTCTTCCTCCTCCTCCTCTTCCTCCCCCCCCCCACCGGCTCTGAAGTGTCCATGGTGGTGCTCGGAGTGGAGGTGGGGTTAACCCCAAGTATCGCATCCAGCTCTTTGTAGAATCGGCAGGTTGCAGGGGGAGCACCCGAGAGGCCGTTTGCGTCGCGGGCTTTGCGGTAGGCACTCTGCAGCTCCTTCACTTTAATCCTGCACTGCAGGGCGTCCCGGTCATGGCCCCTTTCCATCATGTCCTTTGATACCTTCCCGAAGGTATCGTAATTCCTACGGCTGGAGCGCAGCTGGGACTGTACAGCTTCCTCCCCCCAAACACTGATGAGGTCCAGCAACTTGCCATTGCTCCATGCTGGGGCTTGCTTGGCGCGTGGAGGCATGGTCACCTGGAAAGATTCGCTGATAGCACTCCAAACAACGCCGGGCTGAGCAAACAGGAAGGGGATTTTTAAAATTCCCGGGGAATGTAAAGGGTGGGTCACATGGTTGGTTACCTGAGGCCAGGGCAGTAGAGTTTGAACTGTTGACCAGAGTGGCTAGAACAGCCGTTGTGGGATACTGCCGAATAATTCTGGAGGCCATTCACAGCGCATTGGGCGGCCACACTGGCGCCGCAGCGCTGCAGCGGTAGCGCAATACTCACTATTCCTCTCGGAGAGGTGGAGTACATGCAGCGCTGCAACCACGGAGGTACAGCGCTGCAAATGCCTTGCCAGTGTGGACAGGGAGTGAGTTACAGCACTGGGGGCAGCTTTACAGCGCTGTAACTTGCAAGTGTAGCCAAGGCTCCAGTCTCCATTCTTAGGTTTCATTTCCCTGCTGGCCCTGATGTCATAGACGGATTAGGACAAACAGTCCCCTGGATTTGGATGGAAAAACATCCCCCTACACACCCCTCTCAATCCTCAAAATGAAACCTCCCAAATCGTTTCTGTCTCTACAGGAAAAAATTCAGGCCTATTTGAAGACTCTGAGTGAAGAGAGAGAAAAACTGCTGGGATTTAAAGTGACTGGAGAGGATAAAATCCAGGAGTATCTGGTAGGTGCTTGTTGTTATTGACCTGTGGAGAGTTGTGGTGAGAGGTCTGTTTATGGGCCGATTCCTCTAGGCCCTTGGTGAATGTGGGCATGTGTGTTTTTCTCTGTGATCCTAGATTTTCTGTGTTTGATTCATGTGCAGAATCTAAGCTTTCATTTCAGTTAATGAGTGAATTTCTAGCCCTTGTGGTTTTCACTGTGTCTGTGTCATGTTTTTCATTGCTGAATTATTTGATTCTTTTTTTTCTCTCCGGCCTCTCTGTCAGTGTAATGCTGAGTGCTGCCTCCTGCTGCTCTGGAGCTCCATTGTCAGAGGCCATGGATAACACAATGTCCTAATCATGTCAGAGATGAAAACATCCCTTTCCAGAGACATTGGGGCAAAATGACCAAGGTGTGAGAGAATCCTCTCTCAAGTAATCACAGGGTAGAATCAAGTGTCAGAAATCTTAGGGTTTACAAAGAAGTTCTCCCTCCTGCACACTCAGCATTCCATATAGGATGACCAGACAGCAAATGTGAAAAATCGGGACAGGGGTGGGGGATAATAGGAGCCTATATAAGAAAAAGACCCAAAAATCGGGACTTTCCCTATAAAATTGGGACATCTGGTCACCCTAACTCCATGAAAGTTCTCTACACTACCTCCAAGTTCTTGACCAGCCCTTTCCCTGTTGTTTTACAGAAACAGATAGAAAAGGAGAGGCAGAAAATTGTGTCTGAATTTCAGCAACTGCTGCAGTTCCTGGAGGAACAAGAGCGACTCCTGCTGGCCCAGCTGGAAAAGCTGGACAAGGAGATTGTGAAGATACAGAATGAAAATATAACCAAACTCTCTGAGGAGATTTCCCGTCTCAGTGAGCTGATCAGTGAGATGGAGGGGAAGTATCAGAAGCCAGCGAGAGAATTCCTGCAGGTGAGACTGAGTTAGAAATAATCCAGATCCCAACACAGGAACAGGACATCTCCTAAAACATGGGCACTGGAGTCCAGCAGTTAGAGATCACAGTGTAACTCAGTGTGTGCATTGCTGAAATGTGAATTCCTATTGTTCTTTGCAGAGTCACAGACACATTGATATTAGAGATAGAAAAGCCCCATTAGCTCAGGGAATCCATGGCCCTGGGTCCAGGGCAGGGACTCTTTTCCCCATACTTGCAAAATCCCTTCCTTGGAATTCAAAGTGTGTGTGTCATGTGGGACTTAAATTCTCTCTCTCTCTCTCTCTCTCTCTCTCTCTCTCCTCCTCCTCCTCCCTCCCCCCCAGGATTTCAGAAGCACGTTGAGCAGGTACGTGGCTCTCTCTCATTCCCCTTCACAATGCTGGGAAAGAGCTGGGAGACGATGTTAGCACCACATCTCCCTAGGGCTCTACAGCAAAATGTGGGGGGGAAGGTTGCATTTTTGGATACAAATTTCTCTGATCAACCTCATCCCGAGGTTCTCACCCTTTTACAGAACACTCTGGAATTATCTATTGAATGGTAAAGATTAATCTAAAGTATTTCTTAGAGATGTTACATCCCTGGGGGACTGGCTGCCTGAGGATAGTGGAGATGGAATATGAGTCTTTTAACTGCTGGGGCACTGGTTACTTTTCAGCCCAGGTCAGCAGTGACCCAGAGTCTTTCCCACCTGAAGTTTGGAGACCTGTGTGGAATAAGATGGGGAGGTTGGGAATTGGTGTCTCACTGTAATTCCTAGTGGACAGACTTCTACAACACTTCACATGGAAACTTTGTGTCCATCAGAGCATGGAGGCCAAGGAGTGAATGGGCCATAGAGACTCAATTCCTCTTTAATCCCCAGACCTAGCCTCCCCAGGCTAGGGCTTAAGAATATTAATGTGACCTTTGAGGGAAGGTTGCACAGCCATAAACTCTCTTGTGCCTGCTCTGAGGCTGGGAGGAGTAGAGAAATTCTAACTCCAGACATGGATGCCATAACCAGGGGGGATGCAGGGGGACCTTGCCCCCCCCACACACACTTTTAAAAGTGGGAGGGCAATGCCTGCTCACTTTTTAACATGGGCATAGTTTGGAGGTCAGAGGGTCATGTTGCCCCCCACCAAACTGCAAGCCTCGGGCAGGCAAGGAGCAATGCCAGCAGGAGCTGCATTTCCCAGTGGGGTGATCACCTGGACTCCCATGCAGGGCATGTGGAAGTTCTGAGGTGCCCACAGTGGCCCAGGCTCCCTGTGCAATTTTTACTGCAGTCCAACTCTGGCTTGTGGCCTGGCCAGGGGGAGGGGCCTCTGGGGGCAAGAGGAGGAGCAGAGGCCACAGAGAGGTGCAGGCCCTTGTGGCCCCTGACTTCTACTGAGGTTCCAGCACTGTTGGCTCCAGGCCCATTAGAGCAGCAACTCACTAGCAAGAACTTATAATGAGTCACTAAATGAAATATAACCATGTTAAACTCTTTCTGTCCAGGTGTGAGAAGGGGAAGTTCCAGCAACCACTGGAGATTACTCCTGAACTGGAAAAGAGACTCAGTGATTTCTCCCAGAAAACTATGGCTCTAATGGAGACTCTGAGGAAGTTCAAAGGTACCTAGAAGGGATCTAGGAGGGGAAATCAGGATAAGCCTCTGGGACTGTGGGAGAATGGCTTTGGCCTATTGGTTCATAATTATATTATGCATGGATTTAATTGTTGGGTGAGAAGGCCACACATGGGGTGCAAGAGACTCAGGTTGAATAATTCATAGTTTTATTTGTACCAAAAGCATGCCTTGCCATTACAATTACAGTTACAGTTAAAGTAAGAAATGTCAGATGTACAGAATAAAGTACAGTACCATCTCCTGGGGCATGGGTAGGTCACGGTGCATTTCTTCTATGAAGCTCCGACAACCCCTTACAATGTCTGACATATTATACACATCCAAATTATATATTTGTTAGTTCTCTTCCAATCATGTTTGAGTGCTATGAATATTAAGTATCTTATATAACTCATACAATACACATATATGAACTTTTAAATTGGCTATCCAAGCTCTTTTCATGTTATTATTCTCTTTCTTGGTTGGTTTATTACCACTGATTATGCATAGGTCACATTGACCGTTACCTCCACAGTACATTTTGGGTGTCTGTTGTCTTTAAGCACATTGTGTAGTCAAAACATCTCTTTGTCCCACAGAGCAATTTATCTGAATTGCAACATCACTAAATAACAAGGTCACTTAAGGCAATATTTCCTGTATGTCAAGCAAACTGCTAAGTAAGCCAAAGCCAAGTCAGTCGGCATAAATGCACAATCTTGTGTTCTCCAAACTTATGCATAAGAAATGCCCCTTGTACCAACTCTTAATACTTAATCTAATAAGTAGTGGGAAAGCAGACAAATTGAGCTGATGTAATAGGGGCCCAGGTGTCAGGGTGTCTCACATTAATTAATGACTTAACAACAGTATGAACATTAAGGCCCAAATTTAGCAAAATGGACTAATTTGGGGCACCGGAGTTTCTCTCCGAACTAGAGAGCTGCAGGGCAGGCAGGGCTGGCTCCAGCATTTCTGCCGCCCCAAACAAAACAAAAAACAAAACAAAAAAGCCGCGATCGACGGCGGCAGTTCAGCAGCAGGTCCTTCGCTCCTAGAGGGAGTGAGGGACCTGCCGCCCCCGAATTGTCGCAGGTGCCACCCCTCTCCCTTGGCCACCCCAAGCACCTGCTTGTTAAGCTAGTGCCTGGAACCGGCCCTGAGGGCAGGTGCTCCAGAGCTATTTAGCATCCACAGCTGCAGGTGGAGTCAGTGGGAGCTGCAGGTGCCCAACACCTCTGAGAGCCAGGCCCTCGGGCCTAAAGGTCAGCACTCAAAATTTAGATCCTAAATTAATGGCCATTTTTAAAACCTGGACCCGGTCCCTCTCTGTGCTGTGGTCCCGTATGGCAGCTAGTCTGGGCCACATGGGCTGTAGGCAAGGAGAAAGCCCCTCCCACTCCAGAGGAATCCTCTTGTGTCTCCTCCACAGCAGCTACAGGCACAAGGCGTGTTCCTGAGAGGGCTGAGAATGGGGTGGGGTTGGTGAGGGGGGCAGGGATAGAGGGAGGGGGGCAGCGTAAAGCTGGGCCTCTGACACTCTGCACACTGGCCAAGAGACACAGGGGCCATTGTCATAGGGATGTAACTCTGGCTGGCTTCAGAACTTCCTCAGCCTGTGCCAAGGTCTGCACCGGCCCCTGCCGCCACTGAACAGCAGAGTCACAAATTGCCCCTCCCCTCTCTCTTTTTGCCCATACAGGGGTGAATCTGGCCCATTTCGCCAACCTTCCCCCTGCCTCAATTTCTACATTTGGTTCCGAGGTCAGCAATAAATAGATTAAATAAAATTGGACCCAAAACTGAACCTCGAGGAACTCCACTGGTAACCTCCCTCCAACCTGACAGTTCACCTTTCAGTATGACCCGCTGCAGTCTCCCCTTTAACCAGTTCTTTATCCTCTGGATTTTCATATCGATCCCCATCTTTTCCAATTTAACCAATAATTCCTCATGTGGTACCGTATCAAATGCTTTACTGAAATTGAGGTATATTAGATCCACCGCATTTCCTTTATCTAAAAAATCTGTTACTTTCTCAAAGAAGGAGATCAGGTTGGTTTGGCACAATCTACCTTTCGTAAAACCGTGTTATAATTTGTCCCAATTGGCATTGACCTCAGGGTCCTTAACTACTTTCTCCTTCAAAATTTTTTCCAAGACCTTGCAGATTACAGATGTTAAACTAAGAGGCCTGTAGTTACCCGGGTCACTTTTTTTCCCCTTCTTGAAAATAGGAACCACATTAGCTATTCTCCAGTCAAACGGTACCACCCCCGAGTTTACAGATTTATTAAAAATTATCGCTAACTGGCTTGCAATTTCTCGTGCCAGTACCTTTAATATTCTCGGATGAAGATCATCCGGTCTGCCCGATTTAGTCCTGTTAAGCTGTTCGAGTTTGGCTTCTACCTCGGATATGGTAATGTCAACCCCCCGTCCTTTATTCCCATCCGTCATGCTGCCACTATTCCTAAGCCCTTCATTAGCCTCATTAAAGACCGATGCAAAATATTCATTTAGATATTGTGCCATGCCTAGATTATCCTTAATCTCCACTCCATCTACAGTCTTAAGCGGTCCCACTTCTTCTTTCTTTGTTTTCTTCCTATTTATATGGCTATAAAACCTCTTACTATTGGTTTTAATTCCCCTTGCAAGGTCCAACTCTACACGGCTTTTGGCTTTTCTCACTCCATCTCTACAAGCTCTGACCTCAATAAGGTAGGTTTCTTTGCTGATCCCTCCCATCTTCCACTCCCTGTACACTTTCTGTTTTTTCTTCATCACCCCTCTAAGATGCTCGCTCATCCAGCTCAGTCTAAATCTCCTGCCTACGAACCGTTTTCCCTTTCTCGGGATACAGGCCTCCGACAGCTCCTGCAACTTCAACTTGAAATAATCCCAGGCTCCTTCCGCCTTTAGATCCCTAAATATGTTAGTCCAATCCACTTCCCTAACTAGTCCCCTTAATTTATTAAAGTTAGCCCTTTTGAAATCGTAAACCTTAGTCTCCGATTTAATTCTGTTAATCTTTCCATTTAGTTTAAACCGAATTAGCTCATGATCACTCGAGCCAAGGTTGTCCCCTACAACCATTTCCTCAACGAGATCCTCACTACTCACCAAAACCAAATCTAAAATGGCATCCCCCCTCATTGGTTCAGCAACTACTTGATGAAGGAATTCATCAGCTATCACGTCTAGGAAAATCTGAGCCCTATTATTGTTACTAGCATTTGTTCCCCAATCTATATCCGGGAAGTTAAAGTCTCCCATGATTACACAGTTCCTATTAGTATTTACTTCCCTAAAAACATTAAAGAGTTCTCTGTCCATATCCAGGCTAGATCCCGGCGGTCTATAGCACACCCCAAACAGTATCCCAGGGGAGGCTCTAGTAGTTCTTTTACCCAATGTAAGTATTGCCCAGACAGACTCCGTCTTATCCATTCCATCACTTATTATTTCTTTACAGTTTACCTCATTATTGACATACAATGCTACTCCCCCACCTTTACCTTTGTTCCGGTCTTTCCTAAACAGCACATACCCTTCCATACCTGTACTCCAGTCATGACTACCATTCCTCCACGTTTCGGTTATTCCTACGATATCCGGTTTCATTTCTCGGACCAGGAGCTCCAATTCCTCCATTTTGTTACCTAGGCTTCTCGCATTGGTGTATAAACATCTTAATTTATGCCGTTTGGCCTCTCTCACATTCGTTATCCAATTTGGTATGGACACCGTACTGCCAGTATGACCTATTAGTCAAGTATCCATCCCCCCCCTCCTCCTTATGTCCAATCTCTTCCCCCTGGCTATATCCGTTCTTATCTCATCATCCTCCCTCTCAATGTTATAATCTGGTGTGGAGATTAACTGGACATCTCCCAACCATCTCCCCCAAATTCCTAGTTTAAAGCTCTTTTGATTAGATGAGCCAGCCTCCCTCACAGAAGTCTATTTCTTTCCCTACTTAGGTGAAGTCCGTCCCGTGAGAACAGTTTTCTGTCCCCGAAAGCCTCTCAGTGGCCATACATCCCAAAGCCCTCTTTATAGCACCACTCCCTTAGCCAACTATTTATCATCACAATCCTGTCACCCCTTTGCTGCCCTTCTCTAGGAACAGGCAGAATCCCACTGAAGATGATCTGTGCCTTGATTTCCTTAAGTGTCTTCCCCAGCCTGGCATAATCTCCCTTGATTCTCTTCAGCGAGAACCTAGCCGTGTCATTCGTTCCTACATGAAGGATGATCAAGGGGTTCTTACCTGCTCCTTTTAGGATCCTTTTCAGTCGCAGGTCCACATCCTGTATCTTAGCGCCCGGTAGACAGCACACCCTTCTGTTCTCTGGGTCTGCCCTGGTCACAGGCCTGTCTATCCTCCTCAGTAAGGAGTCCCCAATCATGTAAACCTGCCTTTGCCTGGTGACAGTGCGATCTACTAATCTATCCCCTGATCCCTCTAGTTGCAATCCCTGTCCATTCCTATTTCCTTTATAATCCCCCTTATGCCATCCTGTATCCTCCCGGGGCCCAGATTTAGTGCTGTCTCCATCAACTCCTCCCCTCTTTCTATGGGACTAGCCGCTCTTCTCTTCTTCCTCACCCTCCCACCTTCAGTTACCACCTTCTGCACCCCTTCCCCATTTTCCAAACACCCAAACCTGTTCCTGAGCTCTATTTCTCCTTCACTGGCCCTCCTTTTCCTTGGCCTGCTTCTCACTGTCACATGCTTCCACTGCCCTTGTTCTCCCCCTGGCATTCCCCCTTCCCAGCCCTTTGCCCCTGCTTCCACCTGTACCCCTGAGCATTCCCCTTCAGCCACTCCTTGCCTTTGCTCCATCAGCAGCTCGAACCCCCTTCTAAACTCTACCAGGGTATCTACCTGCATTTCCAAACCTCAGATCTTTTCTTCCAGCAGCTCTATTAGGCAGCACTTCATGCAGGCATACCTCTGTTCAGGCACCGCCGCTAGGACCATGTACATACCGCAGCTGCCA